CGTCAAGAAGCCGCACCGCTACCGGCCCGGCACGGTGGCGCTGCGCGAGATCCGGCGCTACCAGAAGTCCACGGAGCTGCTGATCCGCAAGCTGCCCTTCCAGCGCCTGGTGCGCGAGATCGCGCAGGACTTCAAGACCGACCTGCGCTTCCAGAGCTCGGCCGTCATGGCGCTGCAGGAGGCCAGCGAGGCTTACCTGGTGGGGCTCTTCGAGGACACCAATCTGTGCGCCATCCACGCCAAGCGCGTCACCATCATGCCCAAGGACATCCAGCTGGCCCGCCGCATCCGCGGGGAGCGCGCCTGAGGAGTCCCCTGCCACAGCCCTTTCCGGCCAGGCACGGAGGCAAACGCACACGAACCCAAAGGCTCTTTTAAGAGCCACCACATGCACAATAAAAAGAGCTGTGGCACTGGTATGAAATGAATACATTTTCAGTTGTTGGAGATGGGAGCCTTTATGTTCTGGGGACTTATCTATATATAATGATTATTGAGCTCTTACTACTCTTACCTATCGAAGTAGCTGTTAAGTTTCCTTTTCCAGGTAGTGTGAGGTAACACTAAAATCTGTGGTGAGATGGAGGACTTATACTTATTTTCGAGCCAGTTATGTTTTTAAAGTGTGTTAGGTTTTTCTCCCGGGATAACTGCAGCCACAGTAGTTTATGTACTCGCTCTTTGCTAAGAGTTTTGTCGTCAGGCACAGCCACAGGGATGTAAAATTTGTACTACTTGAGACTTTGCTTATCCCCTTTAATGTATTTTCACATTCCTTACCTCATAGCCCTCACCTACTGTTCATGAAACACACGTTACTGTCTGCAAAACCTCGAGGATTAATGTAAATGAAATTTAGAACCTTACGGGGGTTTATAAAATAATTTTTAATATGCAGTACAATGAGACTTAGTAAAAAAAAAAAGCTGGGAACACCCATAAGGGGGCAGCAGGGACTAAGAAATCACTTTACATTTATGCTATTTAGTTCCCAAGCCGTTAGCAAGTTGTTAAAAGAGTTTAATAAAATGAATCAACAGGTGAGTGCTCTATTAATATTTTAAGGCATTTGTTTTAAATTTCATTTTTCAGATCGGGAAGACCTATGTAACAGTTAAAAAGAGAAAAACTATTTCCCTATAAATTCAAGAAAGCATCTTTGAAATACATGGCTTTTTCCTGTGAGAAATATGAGAGGGGAGAGGCCACGGCTGAAACCGAAGGCAGAAAACACTAAACTTTTTGAACTCCCTCCTTTCAGAAAGGACTGGCTGAGTTACAGTACATAGGAGGTGGATGGCACAGGGAAGGTGCCCTCTAAAGGCCTTGCAATTGAAGCAACTCTTACATAATAGGCAAAATGAAGGCTTATCAGAAAATAGAAGGGCTCAGTAGGGAAAACAATATGCAAGCCTAAAAAAATACAAATACGATCTAAGTAGGGTCTTATATTTGTATTACTTCTCTAAATAAAAGTTGTTTTCGATATTTGGGATTAAACAGTCATTGTTAGGGTTCAGAATACACTGTGAAAAAAAATTAGGCTGAAATAAAGAAATTTAAGCTCTTTTGCTGAAAAGGTGGGTGGCTCTTAAAAGAGCCTTTGGGTTGAGGGTGACGGTCCGAGACGCCCTACTTGGAGCTGGTGTACTTGGTGACAGCCTTGGTGCCCTC